TGAGCAAATATAAAAATATGAAAGCTCTGATGAAATAAAAAAAGAACTAAATAGATGCTCATGTGGGAGACCCAATACTGTCAAGATGCCAGTTCTTCCCAACTTGATCTATATATTCAATGCAATCAGTCAAATCAATCTTAAAGTTGAAATGGAGAGGGAAAAAAAAGACAATAATTTTGAAGGAGAATAAATGGGAAGACTGAAACTACCTGACTTCAAGCCTTACTACAGAGCTACAACATTCAATATGGTACAGATTGATGAAAGAACAAACAGATCAACAGAACAGAATAGAGCTCAGAAATAGACCTACATGAATATAGTGATCTTTGACAATGGAGCAAAGATAGTTTCCAACAAAGATTGCTGAAAAACAGTCATCCACACACTTTTCACTTTTCACATTAACTCAAAGTTGAGCATAGCCCTATATGTAAAATGCAATGCTATGAAGCTTCTAGATAACAGGAAAAAACCTAGATGATCTTGGGTATTGAGATGACACTTCAGAGATAAACCACCAGAAGCATGATCCATGAAAGAAAAGACGCTTAAGAAAAAATTGATAAACGGTCTTTAAAATTTTTTAAACTTTTTGCTGGGCACTGATGGTTCATGCCTGTAATTCCAGCTACTTGGGAGGCTAAGATTGGGAGGATGGTGGTTCTAGGCCAGCCCAGGCAGGGAGTCCACAAGACCCCATCTCAACCAATAGCTGAGAGTGGTGATGGTGTGTACCTGTCATCCAAGCTATGCAAGAGGCTGAGATTAGGATGGTGGTTCCAGGCCAGCCTAGGGAAAAAAATTTTGTGAGACCCCCATCTCAACTGGAAAATAAGCTGGGTGTGGTGGCATGTGTCTGTCATCCCAGTGACTGTGAGAAACTTAAAATAGACTGTTATTCAACTCATAAAACACTTAAAACTCCACAATAAGAAAACAACCTAATTTTTAAAATGGACAAACTATCTGACCAGACACCTCACCGAAGATACACAGAAGGCAAATAAGCACATGAAAATATGCTCTGAATCATGTCATTTAGGGAAGTGCAAATTAAAAAAGAATGAGATACTATCCCATGCATATTAGAAGAGTCAAAATCCAGACCACTGACAAAATGCTGTCAAAGACATGGAACAAGCTCTCATTCACTACTGTTGCAAAATGCCAGTCATTTTGGAATAGTTTGCAGTTTCTTACAAAACTAAACGTACTCTTACCATGTGATCTGGCAATCACATTCCTTGGTATTGACCCAAATGAACTGGAAAATATGCCCACATCAAAAATTTTGCAGTTTTGGGTTGGAGGGCATGGCTCCAGTGGTAGAGAACTTGCCTAGAATGAGGTCCTGTGTTTAGTCTCAATATCAGGGAGTAAGGTGGGATGGGGGGAGGAAGGAAGAAAGAAAACAAACTTAGCACCTTTATTCCTTATTGGAAGCAACAAAAATGGACTTGGTAGGTCAACAGATAAACTAGTACATCCAGGCAATGTAATATTATTCAGTATTAAAAAGAAGTGCTATCAAGCTATGAAAAGATATGGAAGAACATTAAATGCAGATTACCAAGTAAAAAAAGACAACCTGGAAAAGCTATATACTATATGATTCCAACTATATGCCATTGTAGAAAAGGCAAGACTGTGGAGACAGTAAAAAGGTCAGGGGTTGACAGGGTGTGGGAGGGCAGAGAGGGGATGGATAGGTGTAGCAGAGAGGATTTTTAGGGAGGGAAACTTTAATAATGGTGGATGTATGTCATGATATATTTCTCCAGGCTCACAGAATATTAAATGCCAAGAGCAAACTCCAATGCAGACTATAGACTTTAGCATGATATATCAGTATATGTGGATCAATTGTGAGAAATTTATTACTCTTGTGTGGGTGGTGACAGCAGGTGAAGGTATTTCTGCTCAATTTTGCTATAAACCCAAAACTGCACTAGAAAACTGTCTAAAAGGAAAAAAAGGTCAATTAGATATGTCAACAACCTCCATTACACAACTATAAATTGCAATTTCTAAAAGTGTAAACAATTTTTAAATGACTACTAAAAAAATTAATTTTTCAAAAAACGCAATAATGAGGTGTTACAAACAGATATGGCTAAAGCACTGATTAAAGTGCAATTATTTTACTTGTGTTTTTATAATTCAAATCAAGCTTTTAAAAATATGTAAATGTACTGAATAATTAGTATTTTAAAGAAATGTTATTAGCAAAAAAGTTTAATTTAAAACAGCTTATAAATAAAACTATTCAGTAGTAAGTGTAGTTTTTAATGTCACTGATAACAGTTTTTTTCTGTATATTTTGCCAGCTAGAATCATCATTATCCTAAAGGTATTTTTTTCATGGTTGTTTGATGGTTGCTAGTAGCAACCATACTACCCATTTCCTTGTTCAATCTCTTCTTTTAGTTCTCACCTTCTAACCTAGGCGTGGGAAAGAAAACCTCCAGACGCTCATAAGGGAACCTTACTTCATGGTGTTTGTCCAAGTATAGATTACGTAACTTTGAGCCCATTACTGGCAAGTGATGGAATTTAAGTCCAATCTTGGGGCTTTACCTGAGGTAAAAACCTCCCCTTTGTGGGAGAGGGTAAGGGTGGATAACTAACAAAGCCAGAGGTCTACTGAGGAAGAAAAGGATTCTAGGAGGCTAACACTACCTACCACATACACTATTTTGCATATATTGCTACCAAATGCCATCCTTCTTATGAAAGGACCCACGTTTCATATGTGACCAACCTACAAATCAGTAAATTGGCAAATTTTATAAAAATTATGTTGTATTTTCATTTCATTTTAAGTCAACTCAATACATTTTTTACTCCCCAAGATTTCCTCTTTGGTAACTTACAAATTTTTGGAGACTTCTCATTTTCTGTTACTGATTTCTGGTTGACTGTGGTTATGACTACAGAGTATTTTCTATGGTCTGTTTTGGCGACTGTCCTTTACATGCTCAAAAATAAAGCATATTCTTTGTCAGTGATGGTCGTTCGGTTCTTTATACAGTTGCTGACTCTTTGTTCAGTGATTTTATCCACTACTAGAAGGAGTGTTGAAGTCACAAACTATAACTATGAATTTGTCTTTTTTAGTTCTGTCAGTTTTGTAACAAGTCATTTGGGGCACATAATTTACTGCTGTCTTCTTGTGATTGGACCCTTTTATTACTATGCAATACATCTGTCTGATAATTTTCACTTGTTCTGAAGTCTACTTAGTCTGATATTAATACAGCCCACTCTGGCTTTCTTTGGATGGTATCTATTTTTCCATCCTTTTGCTGCTAACCCACCAATATCATTACATTTTAAGCAATTTCTTGTGGATAGCATTTGGTTGGGTCATTTCTCAATCCATGCACCCAATCTGTCTTTTAATTGGTGTGTTAGAACATTTATGTTGAATGTAATTACTCATGTCAGGATGTCATTCTACTGTTTCATTTTTTTCAATTTCCCCTTACCTGTTTTCAAGTGAGACATTTGGGCATTCTTCAGTTCTACTTTCATTTATATTTTGAGTGAATGTCTTTGTACCTTTTTTCAGTGATCATTTAAAAAATTTGTATATTTACAAATTTATTCCTGTCTACTAATATCAACACTTAACACTTCAAGTGGAAGGTGGGTAGTTTAACCATCATTTAATTTCCATTTACTAGACTCCCCCCATGATACAGTTATCTTAAATATTACCTCAACATACACTGATGAACCACACATCAGACAATGGTGTAACTTTTAAATAAGTACAATATACTTGTCTTTAGTAAGTGTCTACATACTTACTGATTTTCTCAATATCCAATAATCCACAATCCACTTTCCCCTACTCTACACTCCCCATTCATCTGTCTGTGATCTCTGCAATTAAACTGGTAGTTGTTCCTAATATGTTTGAGTCCGACTAAAAATCTGCTGTGCTTCTAAGCTCATCTTCTGAGATGTTCCTTTCTTTTTAACTCATTCATATGTTCTCTTGCAAGTATTTATATTTATTTCATACAGCTGCTTTCCCATTTGTACCACAGGCTTCTCAGCAGTGGGTTTCTATCTGTTCTGTATATTCCTCCAGGACCTGTTATGGTGTTCTACATCTAAGCTCTACAAATTACTACTGATTAACGTTTTCATTCAGCTAATTGTTCCACAAAAGTTCCCATTCGTACATCTAACACACACACCCAAAATACTTTGTCCCAAAGGAACTTGTGACAAGTTGTTCCTAAAGAGCAAATATTTTGAGACAAGACCCCTTAAGCAATTTGCTCTAGAAAAGCTTAGCCCTTGCAAGTTGAATTTTTTAGTTTATACATACAGCATGTGGTACTTGTCTGTGTCTGGCTTATTTCAGTTAACATGCCCTCTTAATATCATCTTTTGCTGAAATGACAGGATTTCATTCTTCCTTATCGCTAAATAATACTCCATTGTGTATACATGCCAAACTTTCTTTATCAATTAACCTGCAGATAGGTATCTAGGCTTCAATGAACACCTAGGTTGACACCATACCTCAGCTATTGTGAACAGCACTGAATAAACATGGGCACAAATATCTCTTTAGTATGCTGATTTAATTTCCTTGGAATATTTACCCAGAAGTGAGATAGTTGTATTACATGTTTTCTCTCATATGTGAAAGCTAACAAAAGTGAACCTGAAAGTAGACTAGTGATTACTAGGGACTGGGAATGGTACAGGAGAGAGGATGGAAAAAGGAAGGTTGGATTTGATCAGTGCACATGCTATCTGTGCATGGAAATACCACACTGATTCCCATTAATATGTACAATTAATATGTGCTAATAAAAAATAAATTGTGGACTTTGATAAAAGCTATATTACAAACTTAGTTCTAAACCTTGGAAACACCTTTGTCCCAAACAACTTCTGTGTGTATACAACCCATCTGACACACCCACACCCTGTGTACAGCTCACATAATGTAGTCACTCTGTTTTAGAAGAGAATTTATTTCTATGAACACAAATTAATGTTCCCGAAATATTTAGTAATCAAGGTTTGCTCCAAATTCAAATTAATGAGTATGTACATATATATGTACATAATCTTTCTGTAATTTCATTTTAACTTTGAAACTTCAAGTGATGGAACAGTATCATAAGACACTTGATAAGTGTTTAATAAAGATTTTTCAAGTCAACTAATTTTCTTGAAAATGTAAATTAAGCTTCCTCCAGTTCTACAAGGACTCCACCACAGTCTTTAGGATGGAGAAAAATCACTGGTTTTCCATGTGCTCCTATTTTGGTATCTTCAGTTAGACTACGGATCTTCTTTTTTTTCAAATCCACCACAGCTGTATTTATATTATCCACCTTGAGAAAAGGAAATAAACAAGAACACATATGAAATCATAACATAAACAAATAATAGTACTATTAGACTCAGAAGAGACTTTGAGAGCATTTAATCAAACTATTTCCTCTGTGTTTGGACAGGGCAAGGGCTAGGGGTATAGCTCAATGGTAGAATAGTTGCCTAGCATGTGCAAAGCCCTGTGTTTGACCCCCAGCACTACACACACACACACACACACACACGCATGCACACACTATGCCTAACATTTTCAGAGAAATAAAAGTTGCTAAATTTCCTAGGTGACCAACTTCAATGCCAAAGAATTCTCACCATTAGTAAACGATTCCTCTTACGACCTAAATTGTGTATCCCATACCTTATAGTTTCTTTTGCCAGTAATATTGGTGATATTGGGCAAATTGTGTTTTTTTTGCTTTTTTTTATTGTTTTATTATTCATATGTGCATACAATGCTTGGGTCATTTCTCCCCCCTGCCCCCACCCCCTCCCTTACCACCCACTCCGCCCCTTCCCTCTCCCTTCCACCCCCTCGATACCTGGCAGAAACTATTTTGCCCTTACCTCTAATTTTGTTGGAGAGTATAAGCAATAATAGGAAGGAACAAGGGTTTTTACTAGTTGAGATAAGGATAGCTATACAGGAGTTGACTCACATTAATTTCCTGTGTGTGTGTGTTACCTTCTAGGTTAATTCTTTTTGATCTAACCTTTTCTCTAGTTCCTGGTCCCCTTCTCCTATTGGCCTCAGTTGGCTTTTAAGGTATCTGCTTTAGTTTCTCTGTGTTAAGGGCAACAAATGCTAGCTAATCTTTTAAGTGTCTTACCTATCCTCACACCTTCCTTGTGTGCTCTCGCTTTTATCATGTGCTCAAAGTCCAATTCCCTTGTTGTGTTGGGCAAATTGTTTTTCCAGTGACTTCTATACCAGGGAAACGATAGTTTGCATCTTAAGTGTTCCCCAAAAGGTCACATGGCAAATGCTGCTGTCCAGGGTGGTGCTGCTGGGAGGTGGTGGAGCCCATAGGACATGGGGACTAGAGAAGGAAGTCTTTAGGTTATAGTGGTGGAGGGATGCCCTTGAAGGATATAGTGGAACCCATGCCCCTTCCTCTTCCTTTCCCTCTTTTGCTCTCTTGGTCATCAGATTAGCACCTTTACTTTGCCATGTACTCCCACCATGATGCCTCACCACACATCCAAAAGCAAAGCAACCAGTCAATTATGAATTAAAACCTTTAAAACTGTAAACCAGAACTTTACTCTCAATCATCTCGAATATTTTTTATAGTGATGGAAAGCTAGTTAACACAGAGGCTTACCATATAAATTGACTATTGATTAAAATGAGATAAGAAGCTGTTAGCATCTGGGCATCTACCCAAAAGAACGTAAGACAGCATACAGTAGAGACACCCATATACTGATGTTTATCACAGCACTATTCACAATAGCCAAGCTTTGGAAACAACCCAGGTACCCTACAACTGATGAATGGATCAAGAAATTGTGGTATATATACACAATGGAGTATTACTCAGCTATAAGGAATAATGACAATTGGTTTGTAGGTAAATGAATGCAACTGGAGGACATCATGTTAAGTGAAGTAAATCAAGCTCAGAAACACAAAAGCCATATATTTTCCCTCATACATAGAGGAGAAATACAAAAGATAAACATATACACAAAAACAAGCATGATCATATACAAACTCAGATGTAGAGCATATTTGTAACAGTGGAACTACTCTATGGAACTCGGGGAAAGAGGGAAAGGAAAAGAGAATGACAGAGCATCAATAATATCATAAAATCTAACATCTGTGATGGTAGCGGATATAAGGATGTGTATTGAAAGCTTTTGAAAAATGGGGGGTGGGAGGTAAAGGGGTAAGGGAGAGTAAAGGAGGGGGTTTAATGAACCAAAATAAAGTATACTCACAGTGTACTTTCTGGCATACATTGAGACACTCCTTTGAATGTCAACTTAAATGTTAATAACAAAAAACAGACTGTAAAATAGGTACAGTGTATGCGGGGGAGGGGTTAGTACTAGCAGGAGGGAGAAGGGTGAATAAAGGAGATTAAGGTGAGGGTATACGTTTGATGGACTTCATACACTTATTTGAAATAGAACTAAGAAACCTCTTGGAATTGCTTTAAGTGGGTCAGGGAGAGGGCTGAGGGGGAGAGATCGGGACAATGTAACTAATGTACGATATAAGTCTAATCAGAATTGTCACCATGAATCTCCCCTGTATAACGAATATATCCTAATAAAAATTTATTATAAAAAAAGCTGTTAGCACAGTTTGCACATAGTAGGTATCAGAAAATGAGTGTTATCCTGATCCCCAAGCCTCCCCATCTCAAATCACCTGATTATCTTTGGGATTAAAAGTTGAAACACATGAAAATCATTAACATGCTATCAAAATGTTACTCTCATAACAAGTCTCTCATAAAAAGCCAAACCTTTATAATTTTACAACTCTTTGAAATCAGTTCTATTTGTTTCATGTTTATTTGCAGTGTAGGAAATAAGCCAATGTATCTTTATATGATGAAGAAATTCTCCTGTCTTGAAAAGTCACGCTCTTAGACTGGGAAGCAGTAATGGATAAAAAAGGTGTGACATGAATGCCCACCATGCTAGACAGTCTTCAATCACCCCAGAGTTTAATGGTCTAATATCTAATGGCATTCCAGACATAAAGGGAAGCACAAGAGTAATATGAGACCTATCTACCCATCACAGAGATCTAAGAAATGTTCACATTTACACAATCTCATTTTGAAGAGCCAAGAATTTTATACTGGATAATAAAGCTGGTACTGGTGAGGATGCATACTAAATGTTACCACAGATAAACTATGATTTCTTTGATTGATGCACATTCTACGTATCTTTCTGTAACATTTCTTTTTAAATTTCATGGATATATCAAAACCATCATGCCAGATGATGACCATGGTTCATTTCATACTAATATACCACAGCTAGTCTGTTCCCCTCTTTGAGAACAGAACACACACAAGCTGGCGTAGGGATCATCCCTAGTGAGGAAAATTAATCCTTATTAATGTCAGGCATCGCCAATTTTAATCTTACTTTAAATACTCTCATCAATATTCTTAAGCCTTTCCCTGCTTTTTTAAGGTGGGATTGGAAAAGCCTTTAGTCCGGGACTAATTTTCCTCACTACTAAGGCAGTGTTTCTAAGTACTCCACCCGCTGCTCCATGAGACAGTGTTTCCACTATGACTGGCAAGAACAAAGTGCTGCCATCAGAGTGTGAGGTATGTTCCTTCTAATCCTTTAATGGGTTCTCTTCAGAGGCTCAGGTGGCTTCCTAACAGGCATGCCCTGCTCAGTTCTCAGATGGAGATGTGAAAGGCTCTGCCGATCTCAGGGCACTCTAGGCAGCTCCCTCCTTTCTGGCACTTCATGCAGTGAGCTCTAAATCAGTCACAGTGGCCTCCTCGGATTCCCAACTCCTAGCTCTTCCACTTGAGGGAGACTGTTGTATTTCCCCTCCCTTCCCTGCAGATTTGAAACTACAGCCTGGAAGCTGGGAAATTGTAGGGCTCCTCTTATTCGCTTCCGCCTCTCTCAGGGATCAGCATTCTGTGCTACTTCAGGCATGATCCCAGAGAACTGTTGTTTCTTCTATGTTGTCTACATTGTTTGTTTTACGCAACAGTCTAAAACAGTCTCTGTCACAGTGTCCTGATTGGAATCAGAATTCTAAATTGGCAGGGTTTTTGTTGTTAGCACTTTACAAATGTCATTCCATGTTATTCTAAAAAAATAAAAGAAATTTCTTTTTTTCTCCTATTGCTTTTATGATGTTCTCTTCACCTTTGCTTTTTGGCTTGGATAGTCTGTGCACAGTGTGATTTTATTTTATTTGCTCTACTTATAGTTGTGGAGCTTCTTCCGTCTGTAGGTTGATGTCTTGTATCAGACAGGTTGTGTCTTTGTTGAGTATTTTTTCCATTTTTACTTCTGTTCTATTTTCTCTCTCTTCCTTTCCTGGGACTCCATACTATCAAAACTTCTGACCATGTCCTTCATTTCTTTTGTGCTCTACTCTGTTTTCTTTTCCTTCTCTATTTTTTTGACCCTGCCTCTTCTCCATATGTCTTTACCTCTAGAATTATGAGAGGATAAATGTCTCGTATTTTAGCCACCAAATTTCCTTTTCTTCTTTTTCTTAAATATTTTTTTTTGAGATAGGGTCTCACCATGTAGTCCAGGCTGGCCTCAAACTAACAATCTTCCTGCCCCAACCTCCTGAGTGCTGGGATTATAACTACATAGCACTACACCCAGTTTGTGGTACTTCTTTACAGTAACCATAGTAACTCATACAACTGCTATACATGCCAGAACATGGATGGTGGATGGTAAAAGCCAAGTTGTTTCTTACTGTTGGAGTGGGGAAATATAGACAAGCAAGGGAAAAGACTAATGTGGTCCATGTGCTAATGGATTAGAAATGGAGATACGAGTATGAGTTCAAGAGTATTTGAGTATGACATCTCATGAACTCTCCATGGCTAGATATAGGAATCCTTATAGATGTGTGTATGTATATAGTACACACACATGTATGTCCTTGCTGTGTTGACTCAGAGGGCCTAGATCCAATGACATCCCAATAATAAGCATGCCCAGAACTCAAATCTTAGTTTTTAATACTATTCTCCATTAGTAGGAATCAGGACTTCTTGGAAAAATGGCTGGTTCTTGAGCTAGAGCAAAGGATACAAATTCAGAATACCTGTAGTCCCAGAAAATAGGAGAATGCTCAAAAAATGGTACAGGTATGTCAAAGGGACACAAGAGCCAACTAAAAGAGATCCAGTGGCCAAAGCTAGAACAATTTGAAGAACAAAAACATAACATCCACAATTGCATGTTGATATAACTCTCCACTCCTATGTATGGGCACCACATACTGATTTCTTTCCAAAGAGTACAGTATGGAGGA